ACTCACTTCTCCCAATCCATAATTGCCTGTAATCTCAATAACCCTCTCATCGCCGGTAATCGGATCACAAGTGAACATAACTCCCGCCGATTCGCAGCCAATCATCTCTTGGATCACAACAGCCATCGGGGTATTAATGGTCTGTCCGTAACCTCTCTTATACTCGTATGCGATGTGAGAGAACTGTGAAGACCAGCACTTCATCACTGATGAGTACATCTCATCCAATCCTAATGTATTGCAACACAATTATAGATACAATTCATTAAATTCAATGTAATGTAAATACCTTTGACTCCTAAATAAGTAGTCATTTGTCCGGCGGCTGACATCTCTTCCGAGTCCTCCGAAGCGCCCGAAGATCTGACGGCAAATAATCTCTTCTCATAATCACTGAAATTCTCACTTAATTTCACTTTTATTTCTTGTTTTATATCTTCAGGTAATTTATGACTCGATATTAAGTCCATTAAGTTTTCGCATTTAATCTTCAATTCCTTTGTCGACAATTCAGTCGACTTTTCCAAGTCTTGAATGCCTTTCAACACATCGTTGTGTTCCCGAAGAAGTCTTTGATAAGCATTTGTGGTCACAATAACACCATTCGGAACATTGAATGTGTTTTCGTACTTCTCTTTAACTAAATCTTCACTCAAACCCTTGAGAACCGCTAAAGAACTTCCTTTACCTCCACTTAGGTCAACGCGTTTTGCATTCAATTCATTGAATCCCAAAACAAGTGACAAATCATTTTTCACTGATTTATACGTTTTGTTTGGTTCTGATATTTGTGTCTCATTTTCTTCTAACACATAACACATGCCTTAAAATAAAAAATAAAATAAAAATTAATAAATTATAAATTAATTAACTCTTTATAAAATTTACCCTCAAATCCATTAACGGATAGGTTTTGTGCGAAACTATTCTTCAATTCTGTAATTTTAAAATCATATTCTTTTTCGCCAAACATTACTTTAAAAGCTTTGTTTGGATTTTGCTTAATATCATTAAAATCTAATTTATTTAACGATGTTTTGAGCAGTTTATGAAAGCGTCCCCTTTTGTTGAACAAAAATCCATAACGATATTCAAATTGATTGCTATTCTCTACAAAACCCAATTCAAAGCCAATTCCTGTATAATGTTTGTAATAATTATAATTGATTTAGTTTTTATATAGTAATTAATGTGCAATAAATTCATTACCTTTCTTAGTATAGCCACAGATTCGGGTAATTTTCCGATTTAATGGTTCACTACTTATCGCATACTTTTTACTAATAGATCCCCAGAAGTATATTTGTCTCTCCTCTTCCTTATCCTCTTTGAAAGTGCCTTTCATTTGACCGAATTGTTGGAATCGGTCTTCAAATGCATTGTTTTGTTTCAAATATTTTGGAGATAATGTAAACTCTTTGGCAACAAAATAATCGTCAAAATCGTGTGTATAATCATAAACTCTGGACATTGCAGACCATAAAAATCTAAAATTTACGTAAACTAATTGTTTGCTATTTTTTGTGAGATATCCCCTAAACTTAATGCGTTTTCGTCTAAATGGGGAACTAATCTCTAAGCCGAGTCCACACACTCTGTATTCATTGCTCCGGTACTCGACGAGGCTCAGGAGGAGATTACATATCGATAATGACAACAACAGTAGTTTAGAGTTTGATTACCAACGTATGATCTTATCGTTCACTCCTTTTGGTCTCCATTTGATTGCAATATAAATGCTTTGTTTCCCAGAATTCACGCCATATATCAACACATCCTCACATTTTGCCTATTAATTCAATTGCAAATTATACAAAAATATTATTAAATATTAATGAGTAACCGGTTCTCACACTATAACTAGGCAATAAAATAATAATAATTTTATTACCTAATAATCACATTAACACTAAACAACTAATTATTAATATGCAGTTATAATCAGATTTTATAGCTGTTATCTCACACGATATCCAAAGCCTTTAATGCATTGCAAATTAAAATGTTTTACCTAAAAAGCTAACACTTTAGTACATAACTTACAAGTTGTTAGTATTGCGTAATATTGTGATTATTGCATAAGCAATACACACAGGTGTTTACGAGTAATACTTGTCGAGTATAAATATTTATCATGAACATTAATATTAATATATTCAATACATACATGTGTTAATTCATAATAAAAACCATAAATATAAAACTCAAACAATCCATATATACCTGTGACGGCAGATCATAGTCCCACTCGTGAGGGAACGGCAATATCCCGGCGTCTCGTATACTATCGTTCCAGACGTCGTGTCTAACAATACGGTTACTTTTCTGACCCCTTCTTCGCCACAATAATTGTATCAAAACATTGAAATACTTAAACAATTGCCAATTGATTTCATTACAAAGTTTAATAAACTTGTTGATGCCTAATATAAGCGGTACCGCTATTATAGTACCCATTATAATAGCATAGAATTTTATATGTAATTTAAATATTCAACACTTTAACACAGTCTTACATATACTGATCAAATTACTATAAATTGGTGTGACTTTTATACAAATAATATCACATTTAAAATATTTTTATCAAAATAAAACACCACAAACAGATTGTAGTCATAAAAAGATAATGAATGAGAGAGCAAACGATGTGAGTGAGAGGGGAGAGAGAGAAAGAGAGAGTTGGCAGAGAGTAGGCTTTAATCATAGGCTGGGAATGGTTATAATAACGATGTTGTCCTTCAATATATCGGATACAATAAATATTTAAAAGATTTAAAATACTAATCAAGAAAGTGGTCGGCCTTCACATAAAACCTCATACAATCCATTCATAGAGATATTAGTGCAAAACAATCTTGGACGCAATGGCCAGCGGTGGCCACCCATCGGTGGTTGAGTAAAGCGCCGCCGCATTTGTGAGTACTGGACGTCTTGAAGAAGGACAACCTCCGGATCGATACCATCCACGGCCACGAACCGAATGTCGAGTTGTGTCCGCCCACAACTCGGGCCAGTTTTGACCGCTTTTTGATACCGCACTCGCCATCGATCTCCGGCAGTGACTGTTTTGTGTCCGTTTGTGGCCATATTGTGATGGCATCGGGCTTATCGTCTAATGTGTTTGTTGACGATATTGTACTTAAACTTGGTTTAAATGTTTGTCTTATAAAAGCTGTTTGTAATGGTTGACAACAGATCCAGAAGAATATAATATATAACCACATATTTGGTATCTTTAATGATGGCATCGATGACTATTAATACACTAATTACATGAAATAATTGTTAAGAAAAACTAAACATGGTTTAAATGATTTAAATATTTTATATATTTATAGTTAAGTTTACTAAACAATTATTAAAACACTTTTATTAAATTCCTGACAAAATTCAAACTTATATTTGTAATTATTACGTATTTTTTCAATTATGTTTTTGACCAAAGGACAGTAACTGTATCTTCACGCAATTATAGGCTAACTAATGATTTAGTTGTTAGGAAACGTAGTTTACAAACTAGTCGAAAAACAAATGATTTATCGAGGTATTGTTAAAGTATTCAATCGTATTATTTAAAGATCATTATCACTGTTGCGTTCAATACCTTCTCATCACAAGAGTTATTACCACCAAAAAAATCATAATATAATATCGATTAGACAAAGACTTTGCAATAGTTTGTAAAATGATTAAAAATAGTTTTATTAAAAATATAACAATTCAATTGATAAAAATATTAACAATAAATTTATTCCTATGATTTGGTATTAGGTTTACTCGACTTTAGTGATGGTCTGTGTCTTAGTGTCCAATAGACAGATATCGCCGGTCCTGAAGGCACGACACGCGCCCTCCACTGCTATCAGACTCGGGATCCCGTATTCGCGGGCTTACTGACGGGGCACTCTATAGCAAGGTGGCTAAAGACACTAATATGGGCTTTCATTACCCTTCATACCTGAGGTTGGCTACAGGCAGCTCATGCACTAGTCCTATAGAGGGCCGATAGTTGTGTGTTTATACATTTTGTAATACAATGTACATTTATCAAAATTAATTATATTTAATAATTACCTGAATATTGTCAGCTTCAGTTATATCTTCAGACACACAAACTCTCGCTTTTACGGATCCGTTACTAACAGGCGTTCCCTTCATCTGAACCATACCTGAGGTCAGAACTGGAGGTATAATCCGGTCCTCAAACTAAACAAAAATAGAAACATTTAAATTAATGAGACATTAATTGTAAATATAAATAATGCATACATTTCTGGGTTTCATTTCTGGTCCTTTAGTAAACTCTTCATTGAACATAAATAGGTAAAAACCTATTTCAGAAGCGGCAACAGAGTGAAAGCTCTTATAGTAGCCTAGAGACGAGGGTAAGCTGTTTGAGAGGTAAAGAAGCCGGCAGTCTATCTTCTTACACAGCTCAGTTGGGATGAGTCCCTCCCTAACCATCTGTTTGGCTAAATAACGGAATCCCTGTCTCTGTTTGTTATTCATCCAAATCATGAAATACTTGGACAGCTGAGCTATAGGCTGCGGTAAGGATGAGGTGCCTTCGTTATCAAAAAACTAGTTATTAAAAGCTGATTTGCAGTCGCCTCAGAAGTCGAGTAGGTAGTGAACCAGGTGCCTAAACCGTTAAAAACCGTGTAATTGTGATTCACTGCCCGATAGTATTGCCTATGAATACAATGATTAAAAAAGTTGATAAATTTTTTTAATAATAACAAGTTATAAAAATAAATACCTTAATATTTTTGATCACAGGTATAGGATTGTCACCCCACGGCAGATGCATGGGATCAAACTCTCGGTAACCTCTGTGGCCGTGTTTCTCCAGAAACGCCTTAAACCTTCGGGAGCTCTCATCCGTGCCCTCCATAAGAGTCGTCAAAGCCTTCTCATCACTCAATTGTCGGAACCATTGCTTATCGTCGATAGACTTTGCGATTTCACGCAAACTGTTGGGCACTTCAGCGCTGATCACTTCATTACACGACGAGATCAATAGATTGAAATCCGACTCCAATTCTAGATTATTTTCTGATGAAAAATATATAAAAAAAATTAATTTAAAAATGTCACATAAATCACATCCAAAAAAATCACTAACTCTTCGCCCCCTGAAGTGCATTGTGGAGAAGCAGGTGCTTAATGGTGGAGCCAATGGATGCCGGGCCGTGATTCTGAAACTGAACGTTCGCTATTATCCCGTAATTGTCAATAATGCCGGTCATAATCCGCTTGGCGTCGGGAAACTCCTTCAGCCGCTCTACCAAATCGTATTTCATATCATCGATGTATTCCTTCTTTGTTCGGATCAGTACTGACGGCCCGAAGACCAACATATGAAACATTTTGAAAAAACCTCTCACTTTGTGGTAAAACGATTGACTTTTGACTTCTTGTTTCAGCTCTTTGAACGATTCCAACACATCCTTGTCGTCGATTTGATGCCCGAAGAAGGCTAACACCATTTGTCTCGCCTGATCTGATTCAGGGTATTGACTGAATAGATCAAAGCCTCCCTTTTGGTTGAAAATTTAATTAATATTTAGCGTTAATTACAAAAGCAATGGTCACTAACGTTAGTCATATTAAACATCAATTGATTGTATTGAACACCCATTCCTAGAGTGTAAGGATTGTAGTCGTCTTCAGTCACTTTCCCGTCTTCCATACCAAAGCGCTAACAAAATATAATATTTTCATTAATATTGATACAAATTTTGTCATAACTTTTAAAACATACAAAGAATCCGCTTTTGTTGGCAAAAGTCCACGTGAAGACCAACCATGATGATGAGCCGGGAAAGTTTTCACCCCAATGGGCTCGAGAGTAGATTTCAAACTCTGTTTGATGAGGGCTATCCATTTCGTGCATAACCTCGTAATCGGTGTAAGAATTGTCTAAATTAGTTACGGGTCTCGACTGAAGCATAAATATTTGGCCCCCTTTTAGACCCCATTCTATATCTCTTGCGTTTCCGTAATGTTTATGAATCTTCTCCGCGTCTTCAGAACCCGACACAATCAAAATGTCCACAAATATTGAGTCCAACTCTTTGTCCAAACGAAGACATATTATTGCCATTGAATCCAAAGTCATCGGAAAGAAGAAGACTTTAATCAGACTATTAGAAAATGGAGGCACTGTTGATGAAGAAGTCATCGATAACAACAATTGCTGTATTAGTGACGAAGACTTACTACGTTTGGGTGATATTGGACTTCAGGTAAAGAATAATGCAATTTATTTTTATAATTTACTTATGGTACTAATAATAATTTTTAGATTCACAGACATTACGGAAACGCAAGAGATATAGAATGGGGTCTAAAAGGGAACCAAATATTTATGCTTCAGTCGAGACCCGTAACTAATTTAGACAACTCTTACACCGATTACGAGATTATGCATGAATTGGATTCTTCACATCCGACAGAGTTTGAAATCTATTCGCGCGCCCATTGGGGTGAGAACTTTCCAGGAGCCTCGTCTTGGATCTGTAATCAATGGTTTTGGGCCAATAAAAGCACTTTTATGGTACAAATCAATATTTAAATTGTCATAAATATCTAATTTTATTTATTTATAGCGTCAGGCAATCACTAATGGAATTAATATCGATGAGGATTACAATCCATTTAAGGAAAATATGGGCATTCAGTACAATCAAGTGATGTTTAATTTGAGCAGTGTATGCATTCATTATGGTTATTATTTATAATTTTTCTAATTGTAAACATATATTTGTTGTGACCAGGGTGGTGGTTTTGGTGACTTTTTTGCTGAATACCCGGAGTCAAAACAGACACATGCGATGGTATTATCAATGTTTGGCCATCACATCGACGACAAGGATGTCCTCCAGTTATTCAGACAGAAGAGAGTGGAGTTAAATAAGCCATCGTTTATAGGAAAAGTCCGAATGACTTATTTCTTAATTAATTCCCTACTTTTTGGGCCGAAAAACTTGATTAAAACAAAAGAGGAGACAATTGTGAAGAATCGGTACGATTTGGTCGACATTTTGAAACATAGATCTAATAGTAAAGACATATTCACTACAATTTTGGACAATCAGTACTTTATATACGACACGGCGTTGAAAAATCACGGCCCGGTCTCTATGGGGTCGTCAATGAAAGGCGCTATTTTGAGAGCTATTCTTGCGAGCGGTTCCGGTCAGTGAATAATTGCATTCAACAATCTAAACAATAATTTAATCTAGATTTTATCTATAATTATTTATAGCTAATAGCGATAATATAGAATCGGATTATAATCTAATGATATCTTCGGCAACAAATGTAATCAGTGCTGAAGTGCCCAATACTTTACGTGAAATCGCAAAGTCTATTAAAGACAAGCAATGGTTTCGACAATTGAGTGATGAGGAGGCGCTTCAAGTGCTGCAAACTGGAAGCGATGAGTCCTCACAACAGTTTAGATATTTTCTCGAAAGACACGGACACAGAGGGTATCGGGAATTGGATCCCATGTATAAGCCATGGAAAGGCAATCCAATGCCTTGTATTAAAACTATTAAAGTATATAATAATAATATTATAATTACAAAATATCTCTTTCTGTTATTATAAAAATCTGCTCTCATTTTAGACAATATTATCGGGAAATGAATCACAATTTGAGGCTAAAATTGAAAAGTCTGTCGAAGAAGTTGTCAACGAATTAAAGACACCATTGAGTCCTTTAAAGAAATTAATGATAAAATATGTATTCCTTCCGTGGACTCGAAGAGGGATTGGATATCGAGAGTTATCCAAGTATTTCATGATTTGGATGAATAACAAATGTAACGAAGGTTTTTGGTATTTGGCTCAACAAATGACTAAAGAAGGACTCATACCATCGGTGGACACATTTTTCTATTTGACTATCACTGAAGTGGAAGCGCTATGTAATGGACAAAGAGATCCATTGATATTCTCGAGAGTAAGACAACGGCGAAGACTTTACCCTCGAATGGATAAATACAAGTTCGAAGAGTTTATTAAAGGACCCGAAATGAAACCCAGAAATGTATGCAAATTATAAACATTTTTTAATTTTTAGATTTAATTGATTTACTCTTTTCATAGTTTGAGGACCGGATTATACCTCCAGTCCTGACCTCAGGTATGGTTCAAATGACGGGAACACCAGTTAGTAATGGATCCGTAAAAGCGAGAGTTTGTGTGTCTGAAGACATTACAGAAGCTGACAATATTCAGGTAATTATAATTAACATTAATTATGAAATGTGTTATAACATGTGATGTGTTAATAGCCGGGAGATATTCTGATCACGTACTCGACGGACATCGGTTGGAGTCCATACTTCCCATTACTTTCGGGTATAATCACAGAAATCGGTGGAACGATATCTCACGGGGCAGTCATTGCCCGCGAATACGGGATCCCGAGTCTGATAGCAGTGGAGGGCGCGTGTCGTGCCTTCAGGACCGGCGATATCTGTCTATTGGACACTAAGACACAGACCATCACTAAAGTCGATTGAATTTATTATAACATTTAAAATCATTTAAACTTTAAATTTTAAAGCTTTATACTGTTATACGATTCTATTTGTCATTTGTATAAAAATGAATTATTTAACACTCATATAAAATATTATACTCACATAATAAATAAAGAATTATTAATATTCAAAATAATTGTTATTGATTATTAATTGTTGTTTTAATTTAAATCAAACCATTTGTTCTCAATTACCCTCGTTTTCCTACATAAACTGCATAATACAAATTGTTGAATGAGACCATTTTAAATAAAATAAGGGTAGAAATGAAATAAGTGTATTATTTGCATAATGCAAATGATTAATTTTCGATAATGTTTATTTCTGAAAAATTATATCTGTTTTAATAATGTATGAAATAGCAATTGTGTATTAATCTGGTTAAATTTTTATTATTATTTTAGGACATTTTTATCAGATAAAGCTATTCATAAAAATGTAAGTATATTTCATAATTATTATCATAATTTATAAATATAATACTTATCAGTTTAGCTCCGGTGATTAAAAAAAAAGTATTTTATTGATATATTAAAACAGTTAATAGTATTGTAAAAATATTGTTAGCATAACTGATCGACTGAACATTGCATAATTCCGGCCCTGTTTAGTGCAAAACTATACAAATGCCTGTGATTTCTATTGAGAGTACATTAATACAACTGTACTTTATAGCAGATATAGTTTGTACTTTCAATAAGATACTGATCACACTTTTAACATATTGATATTCACTCAATACAATCAATATGTTTCAAAATTATGTGCCGGTATAAAATATTGAAGCACACTTTACAATATTTGCATAATAGAGTTAGATTAAATATTTATTTTTAGTAATAATTTGTACCGGATTATATATTTACCGGATGTAACATTGCATAAATAATGAATAAATTAATGTATAGTAAATATATTTATCATATTGTAAATCAAGTGCAATAAATTTTTGCATGTAAAGAGATTTTTACACAAAGTACAATTTAATAATACCTAGGCTAATTGCTTTAAAAACAATAATTTAATTGTGATTAAGTTTGACATATAATACTTTCAAAGAAAAATCCTTGAATTCTTTAGTACAACTCCTCCTACAGAAAACTGATTCCCAGACAAGACTTGTGATACAAAGCACACGATTTAACGGACATTTCAGCACACATTTGATGATTTGAATTGCTTTGATACACAAAATATGTGCCAATAATTGCTTGTAATTGCAATAAAAGTTAATAACAATTTATGATTTCTTATAAATCTAATGATTGCTTTGAAAAGAACGTCAGAATGCTTTCAAATTCAAGTCAAACTGACGAATAGTGTTTTATTTATTTCCAACTGTAGTATATCTATAAATATCACAACATTTTTCATTAATTTCTTTTAATTAACTTTTTTTAGTGATTATTAGTTAATTACTGCTATAATGGGTCTATTAGTCTCAATACCAGTGATTACAATATATTTCAACAAATTATTGTCACTAAACCGTGAGATCAATGGCCAGTGGTTTACATATTTGACTCAATTCTGGAAATTATGGTCAAAAAGAAGACAACAGAAGACAAACCGAATGGTAAAACATGACGTCTGGAAGAATAACTCGACTGATTCTGGGATTATTCCTTTCCCTGAGGAATGGGAATATGAATTACCACAACAGGTATTGCAATGAATTTATTAAAGATTTAGTGAAACTTTGTAGGTTTAAAAAGATTTCAAAAAAATTTAATATACAATTTATACAAACAATACAAGCAATTAACTAAAATTTATTAATTCATATAAATGGAATTAAATGGTTAAAAATAACGTTAATATTTTTAAAATGTAAAATAAAATAAATGTATAAAAACACTTAATTTTGGTTAAATGTAATAATTTAATGTAATATGTTTTAGCGTATATAATATGATAAAATATAATTAAATAATAAATATAAGTTAGAAATTAACATTTATATAATAATTTTCCCAATAAAATAATTGTATTTGTAAAATTAGACAAAAGCCGAGGATGTGTTGATATATGGCGTGAATTCTGGGAAACAAAGCATTTATATTGCAATCAAATGGAGACCAAAAGGAGTGAACGATAAGATCAATGCAACCATTAGTTTGAGATTTGATGACAACAACA